TAATACAATGACAACAATAATAATAAGGAAAACTATTATTAATTATTTAAACATTGTATCTATTTAACCGTAGGATCCCATATTATGCCTAAAGATGGTTAGCTAATATATTTACATTATCCGGCTTAATTAGATTTTTTTTAAACTCTCTCTAAAAATACAGATTTTATTTTGTTTACAGTGAAACTATCATTTCCCATCAAATTGAATAGAAGTTGGTTAATTTCATCTTTGAACTTTGTTCTTTATTTATAGTATATTTATACTTTTCTCCTGATGTGCTGCCACAGTGATTAGCATATTAATGATATGATACCAAGGCAGTGCTTGACTCTTTAATGTGCATGGATCAAACAGATGAAAGGGGTTCAAGGTGTCAGAGGTGTGGAGATGTAAGTGGGTTCATCACTATATAAACCTTGGAGACCTCAAACTACCAAATCAGTCCTTGGACAACCTCTGAGGAGTCAACTTCTCCTGAGCTGATCGAGACACCCAGCAGAAGATGCCTTCAGAGATCACCTTGAAGACTGTCCTATGTTTCTGGTCCATCTGCATGGCCCTGGGGAGGCCTCCTTTCCCACTTAACTCGGGGGACTTGAACTTTCCACCTTCTGGACTACACAGCCATTCTCAGAAGCTCAGGGTTCCTCCTTATATGATGCAGCTTTACCAAACCCTCATGGGTGAGCACAAGGATCCTCACAGGCCGGAAAATCAAATCTTGGAAGAGTCCGACACTGTCCAGAGCCTTCCTGCTAAGAGTAAGTACATTGATCCTTCCTATATCTGTACATGAATTATGTAGAGGAGTGACTTCTGACAATACCGGTCTATACTGTGTTAGTAGTTTACTATGAGGGTTTATATTGACTCCAACTAGTATAGATTCACCTAACTACGGGATATATTTATGTATTTATATGATTGGTGGTGACAAATCTGAAATAAGATCTTTCTGGGTTGTCCTGTAGTGACCAAAAAGATTCCAAACATTAAACTTGCCATGCCAAATATCACAAGACAACATTTTGAAACTGTGTGGTTGAAGGAATACTTTATATATTTTATATAGCGCCAACAGTTTGCGCAGCGCTTTACAATATAAGAAAGACATTACAGTTACAATACAATTCAAGACAAGATGGTAAGTATTGCCCTGCCCCTGAGGGCTTACTATCTAAAAGGGAGGGGGAAGTGATACATGAGGAGGTAGCTGTGTGGGGATGAATTGTTTGAGAATATGATGGTTGAGTGGTTAGTTTCCAAACTCAGAATTTTAAAAACAGAATTCTAAGATTAAAAGTCAAAATTGTGACTTTTAATCTCGGAATTCTGACTTTTAAACTCAGAATTATGTTTCATATTTTTTTTAGCATGGCCCTCCCTAGGGCTCTTATGTATATTTGGAATTCCAAAATGTTTATGGTAGCATTCTATCTGCTGTGCTAATATGTGATGGTCAACTCATTTGTCTTGAACGAACCATACTAATGAAACCTTTTTTTTTTATTTCTCTCAGGTTGTACTGTGGAAGATAATCGCTGGTCAATTACCTTTGACCTCACACCTATCACCACAGGAGATGATCTAAGACTGGTGGAGCTTCGAGTTCTTCTCCCACCATTTAAAACCCCCACCAAAATCACCATGGAGATCTTCCACACTGAAAACGGACAAGGTAGAGTCTTCTTGGGGTCGGTCATAAGGAACATGCCGGTGAGTCACCATTCCGCCTGGAAAAGCTTCAATGTGACCAACATGATGGGGCAGCATCTCCAGTGGGGCAATAAGAAGACCGACCATGCTATAGGAAAGCCTCACGGCGCGGCAGTACCTCACTCTGAACGTCCCGAGAAGTCCATTAAAGATGACGTCAAAGTTCAGAAGACCTCCACGAACCGGGCCATCGTTGTGTTTTTCAGTAAGGACAAGCCGTCTTCCAGGCCGAGGTCTCCGGGCCTGATCAAGAAATTGTCAGAAAGCTCTCCGAGGATGGATGGCTTCCGAAGGCAAAGACGAAACAGAAACAACAGGCAAATAATTACTCCCACCAACAATTATGCCGTGCCAGAAGAAGAGCAGGCTCCTCTGTGTAGAAAGGTGGACATGATGGTAGACTTCAAGGAGCTCGGATGGGACAGCTGGGTCATCTACCCCAAAAAGTACAACGCATACCGGTGTGAAGGAAGCTGCCAGATCCCGCTCAAGGACACCGCCAAGACAACAAACTATGACTACATAAAGGTAAGAAAAGTTTTTACTGCTACCCCAACCCCCACTGAAAAGTATTTATTTAAGGGAAATTGTATTTTTAGAGTTTTTGTATGTTGGCTGATGAATTGAAATAATATTGTACTAATCAATGAATGGCAATGTATCTAATGGTAATGCTTACTAATCAATGAATGGCAATGTATCTAATGGTAATGCTTACTAATCAATGAATGGCAATGTATCTGCATACAGTGTTTAGAACATTGGGGCAGACCTACAGCAATAGAAGCCTAGATATGTCTCTAACGGCAGATCTCCTTCAAATATCCTATTGCCATTGCCTGATATATAGCTGACCACTAGGGGGCACACAAACAAAAAATCTGTATATAAAATACAATCATTAAAATATGGAACAGAATGCAAGTTTAATGGCCAACAGTTGCATCAAAAGTTGCTGTCAGCTGTATCCTTATCAGCTGTTTATACTGCGGGTTTAACATTTTGCATTCAAAACTTTTCTGTTATTCATTTTTATTAACCTAAAGCCTTTTACTAAATCACTGAATTTTCTATTTTTTGTTTTTAGAGTTTCATCAATCTAAAGGAATGGGAGAGATCAGAATGTTCCTCGTGTGTGCCAGTGAAGATGCGGCCATTGTCCATGCTCTTCCATGAAGAACCCGACCTTGTTTTAAGACACCATGAAGACATGATCATCGAAGAATGTGGGGCCCTCTAAGGGGGGAACGCTGCTTTCAAACGTGAAGATTTGGGGACTTTGTGTTATTATTGGGGGTATTGGTGAAGATGATTTGAGATTTGGGATGCATGCACTGTAGATTATAAAACGATTTATGATGTAGTTCCTCATGTTGAGGTTTGGTTATTGTTCTCTTTTATTTTTTTATAGACGTTGTTAATTTATTTTATACGTATGCAATAAACTCACTGAATACACTATTATGCTTCATGTCTTTTGTTTCTATTTGTAATTCTCAGTTCTGTGCA